AACAAACGGAGACGTAACACCCGGTTTGTAGCGTTATAAGCCTTTATACTTGCCGCTGAGCCACTAGGGGCATATATGTACTTCGATCAACTGTTTCATTGAGGCTTATATTCTCGAGAAAGTTTTATTCAGTCATAGAGAAGATAAGCCATTCTCTTCTACCAGTAATTTCTAAACTTAATTTGTTTTACAAAAACAGAACAAACAGAATTTATAAACACAGTTTAATTATATGCCGATTTATTTAATTACGAAATAGGGTGTGTGTGTTTTTTTTTCTGATAGCAAAGCCACATTGGGCTACTATCGCTTAATATAAAAACTAAGTGCTTAAACTTGTATCCAGAATTTTACGTGTTTTTATTAGTTATTTATTCATTATTATTGTTGTTGCTGTGTTAGAAAACCTGTGGTAATTATTATTTTTTTCTATTTTATGTAGCAATACAGGGATAGGGAATCTAGGATACTTGGAGGACGTAGCAGAGGAAATCGAGTACTTTGTGGAAATTGTTCAGCACCAGGATGTAAATGTGTTGGAGAGAAAGGATCGCGGGTAAAGAATAGCTTTATTTTGCATACTATATATTATTAGAAACTGCTTGATTAATGAACTCAATCTTTTTTAGAGGCAGCTTTGTTACTGTATTAAGAATTGATCTATAATTAGTTCTTTCATGATTTCAAGCCAGAAGACCGGAACGACTTGTACTCAAAATATTGTCTTTAACTCTTCATAGAGACGCGAGATTGTTGAATGCACTCTATTAAAAAGTTGATAAGTCAGTTCTGAGTGTAAGGAACTATGATTACATATTCAATAACGTTAAAAACTATTATTACTTCTTAACTTTAGACTAGTGTTAGCTGAATTTACATTGTTAAATTATTTTAGCGTTTTATTGTTATTGTTACGACAGCGAAAGTCACGTGACGCTGGTAACACGTAATGAGTTCTAGAAAGATCGGGGAACATCGCGAATAATCCAGTATTTGCTAGGCGCCCTATATTCTTGTATATAAGTGCACCGGGATTGTATAGCAGACAGAGAAATTGAAGATATAGACGGACAATTGAGTCAAGGGCGGTAGTACGTAAAGTGCGTGAATCGTTCGTTGTAAATTATAACGTGTGTTTAAGTTAAGGTGACTGTGGAAATTAAGTGTATTGCAAAGTCGTATTGAGAAAGAATAAACTAGTTTTATTTGAGAAAGGAGTTGTATCACTGAAGTTCTTCGGAAAGAATTTTTACGAGTAATTAACAAACGACCAGAGACCTAAAATTATTATTGCAAAAGTTTGAATCATCTTTAGCCTGTGGTACATATATTCTAGGTGAAACTGAGCTATATCAGATAGATCCTGTTAATAACAGGTGATTCACTTTAGATATAGTTTATGAAGTAACACTAATTCTCGTAGTAACCAAATCAATGTAAAATAGAGTAATGAGATTGGGGACATAATGTAATATGAGATGCACAATCTTTATTAAGACCCTAAACACAAACATAGTGTATGTATGTACACTTCCTTGAATATACATGATGGGCAATCACTGTGAGTCTAACTGGATATTTTCAGTGATTGACTCTTCAGAATCCCCTTCCAGAGTAGACTCACTATAATCATATACCTCAATCTTAACCAATATTCTTGATGGTGGTTTTCTTTCACTGAGTAGTTAATTATTAGAATAGTGTATGATATTTTTCTTTTACTTACAGAAATCTTAAGTTGACACTTTTCTTTCAATTATACTTTATAGATTATTAGCTGTTGTTTTCCATAGGTTATGGTATGTTATTTCCAGATAGAAAAAATTATATCATGAGTAGGATTTTTATAAAATTGATAAAATTATCAATGTGCAGTTTGAAATATCATCAATTTTAGCAACTTTTATGTACACAGTATGAATTAATTTAAACAATTATCAATGTAATTTGTAAGGATTTTCTTTGTGCAAACAGGGACCTCCTGGGCCACCTGGTTCTATAGGAGAACGTGGTTTACAAGGATTTCCAGGAATGGAAGGTTTACCAGGTGAAAAGGGGCAGAAAGGTGAATCAGGATCTAGAGGACCAAGGGGTCCAAAAGGAGATAGGGTAATATTTTCTATATTAAACCAAAATTGTTTCTTTCTTCTGTACTGCTATGGTAAATGTAAGTTAAATTTTAGTTATGTGGTACATATGTATATTATGTTATGTATTTATTATGTCATTTACTGTCTTTGAACTTCAATAATACCGGAGAAAAAAACATGTTGTTGCAGAATTGAAATGTAATTATTTTAAAGGTTAGAGAGAGAGATTAACAATAACAGTACTTACAACACACAATATATATATATATATATTGTGTGTGTGTGTGTGTATTTGATAATATTTTGTTTCATAATTCCTTCCGTTTTTGACAAAAATATACATTAAATTGAATTATTTTGTTGAGAAGACTATGTAAGAAGTTGTTTTTGTATGGTTCCTGAATAATAGCTATTTTCTTTACCAGTTTTTAGTTTCAATAAGCTAGAAAGTGTACTGTAACTGAAGCTTTTATGCTTAGCAAAATGCATTTTTTTTTCTTTTATTATTTCAGGGAAAAATGGGAATCCCTGGCTTTCCAGGAATAAATGGAATTCCTGTAAGTATTATATATAAAAATGTTAAAACCCTAGTAGTGTATCCTTTTTAAGACTTAGTCAGGGAAGACTATAATTAATGGTTTCAAGTTTAATGCTCAGGTATTGCAATATATATTTAGTGCTTCTTGTCTTTTTTAGTGTAGTAATGTAGTAAGGTGAATGTTTAGTGTTCACCACGAATTTTCAAAATTTTTAGCACTTGCACATTTCTAGTTGTGTGTTAGTTTCTAACAACAGAACATTCGTCAACAAATGTGACTAAATTCCTTTTTCCTTTTGCTCTAGCTACCTATTGTTTGAAGTTATTCCTCATTGGTGTCATATATGTTTTCTTGTGGGAAAGATTGATGTACAGTAAATCACACATTATAGACAAGGACAGTGATCTATTACATTGTCATCATTTAGGATATATTCTCCCTTATTTATTTAATGAAATGACCAAAGTGACATGGTAGTGCATACTCTTATAGAGAGCTGACACTGTTATACTTTGTATATACTTGTTGTACCCTCCTTCAGTCTTGTCGTGAATTTCATCGGAACTCCACACTGTATTGACTAATTTGCCTTAATTGTTACAACAGCTTTGTCTTGTTAACTTTGCTTTACGTTATTGTGTTATAAAAATTACTGCTCTCTTTGTTTTTACATTGTGTTTGATGTTTTTCTTTAATTCAGAGATAGATAATTCACTTTTACTCCTGCTTAACGTTTCCTGACATTTCTTTAACTATTAAAGTCACTATTCTTATCTGAATAGGAAAAAGTACATTTGGAAGTCCCACATTGTCTTTAACTTTTAGTAATGAATGTATTGATTACAATCTTTTGTAGAGAAAGTTTAGTAGTTGATTATATCTTTCTTTGTGTTATCATTTGTATTCTGCTTAAAAAATAAATATCTTAATGGTTTTGTATCATTATAAAGCTTTGTTTTTTATTATAATTATTAATATAACTTGTATCTCTATAGGATATATATTTGTGTCATTTCAGGATTATAAGCAAGAAAACCAGAGTGACATTCATGTTTAATTCTTAATAGAGCCAATAGATGGCTGAGTGTTTTACTGTGTGAAAAGGTTGATAAGTTAGTTCCAGAGTGCAGAAATTATTTTGATATATTTATTTTAACCTTTAAGGACAGCAGATTTGTTTTCTGTCCTAATGGAGCCAAGGCTTGCAGTAGAATTTCCATTTTGTTTTGTTATGATTTTTGTTTTATCTGCTAATTGTGTAATAATTATACCACTAATCAATCAGCTTCCAATCCCCATCACTCCTACCGTGAAAGAGTGTTTTTGTTTTATGTTAATGTGAAACCTTAAGATACTGGACTTCTGAGGAGAGGCTCAAACTTTTGGACTTAATTTTATTTGAACTAAGTAGAAATATGATTCACTTTATTAAGGTGTCTCTGTTTATTAGAAGTTGCAGCAACCTGACTTTGATAACATAAAACGTTAGGAAATATTAGGAGCAACAGGCTTCAACTTTGAAAAACAAAATGCAAGCTTGTTCTTGGATAAAAATGTTTTTTTGAGCTAGAAACTTCTTGAAAGATTTACTTCTGTGGGCAAAATAACCTTCTGTCATCTTACATTCCCCTTTTGTTTTTATTTGTAATCATGGTATTGCCCAACTACAACTTTATAATATGAATGCTTTCCTCTTTTGTTTTAGTTATTTATAAAATACCAGTTAACATATTGTAACATGGTTTTCAAGTTGTTTTTTTTTAAGTATATGCCTTCAAAAACTAAGAACGTTTAGTTAACTTTGATCCTAAACAAATACTAAAACTGGATTATTATGCTATAGATGAATGTCATTTGCTACCATTGAATGCATCATCAGTTTTGCATCACTGTAATATTTCCACATATTACAATTAGATTCATACGTTTTTAAGCTTATATTCCGGTTGCTGTTTTTAAACATCTATTTTTTTTCTCTATGTTGCACCAATACACTTTTCTAGGAGAGCCATTATCTGTCTATCTATCTATATATATATATATGTGTGTGTGTGTTTGCATGTTTGTATATACACACACTTTACACTACTGTGAAAAGTCTTAGACACATTTGGTAGTTACAATATATGTTTGTTATGAGCATCAACAATTTACTCAAAGCCTCTACTAGTGTTTTCTACAACTAAAACAGCTTTGACTGTTATTAATACAGCTTAGTTTTGGTGAGAAGAAACCAAGCTTGTCATTCAGCAATCTTTAATTCACATTGATCAGAATCTTTAAGATCTTATGATCACAACAACCCAAAGTAAACCATGCATGAGCAACTACTTTGTAGCATTTTAGTAGTTAATCTATCACATTTTCCAGTTCAATCCAATTGATGACTTCTTTTCCTCATCATTCTTCTCTACACATCCATAAAGCTAAAAAGGCTATTTTTTGTACTGCAAAATACAAATCTATCAGGATTAACTGTTAGCATAAAACAAAATGGCTAAACTTTTAATAGAAGATCACCATAGAATTGTGTTTGTACATAAAGAAGGAAAAACATTGAGTGAACTAGCTTGCATCATTCAATTTTCAAGTTGTGGTATCCAAAGCATAATCAATAAATACAGAGAAACATCATGTGTAATTGATAAATCCAGGACTGGAAGACCAAAAAGTTATCTAGCAAGGATGAACAATACTTGAAGATAATAACCTTAAAGCATAGAAATAAGACAAGCTTGTAATTGACAAACGAAGTGGCAGAAGGCTCAGATATCATTGTCCATCCATCAGCAATATGAAATCAGGACTTAAGGGATGTAAAAGAAAGGGGAACAAGACTAAAATGGTAAATTATGCACAAGAACACAAAAATTGGACTATGGTACAATGGTCAAAGGTGCTTTGGACAGATGAGTCAAAGTTGAAGTTATTTGGATCTAATAGAAAACTGTATGTGAGATGATGAACAACTGAAACTTACAAAGAGCCTTGCTTAAAGCCAACAGTTAAGCATGGGGGAGGTTCAATTCAAGGTACATATCTTAAAGTAGTTGTGTTAAATTGCTGAAAATTGATGGTACATTCATGTCAGCAATGTACAAACAACTTTTAATCCACCATACTATCCCCAGTGGTATAAGACTTATTGATCCAAGTTTTATCTTACCGTAACATAATGACCAAAAATACTCAACTGGAGTAATTAAAACTTATTTGCAAAAGAAAGCCTAGATCTCAGTATCATAGAAATTGTATGGGAGTATTTGGAATAAATGAAAAAGAATCCAAGCAATTTATGTGATCTTTGGAAGGTCTTGGAAGAAGTGTGGAACACCATTCCACAGGAATTTATAACAAAATTAGTTGAAAGTGTCCCTAGATGAATTTCAATGGTTTTGAAGAAAAATGGTGGATGTACTCACTATTAGTTTATAGTAAGGTATACTATGTAAAAATTTGGTTATTTGAATAAGATTTTCTTTTTCATAAAAATGTATTTGCATTGAACACAGCTTTAGTTTCCTTATGCATTAGAATAGAAAAATGCTAAATATCTAAGAATTTTCAACAGCAATGTATATTATCTTACAGATGTATGCCTTTTTTGGGTCTGGGCAATCTATGTAGAAAAGTTTGTTACAAATTGCTTAGACTTTAAATATCCTTTCAGGGTTTGTCTGGTATGCAAGGTCCTAGGGGTCCTCCAGGTTTGGATGGTTGTAATGGAACAGATGTAAGTTGAACTTTCTACTTGGTAAATTATTTTTCAGGTGATAATTATCCAAGCTTGATCATGAATCACTCCATTCAGTGCACATTTTTTAGTTCTGTGTACTTGCTTTACAACTCTGTTATTTAGTAAAACATCTCTGCTTCTTCAGTTGTTTTGAATATCTTCTTATGAAGAGGCCATACATAATTTCTGATTTTTATTAAGAAATTTATAAACAATAAGTTACTCCTATATGAACTCACCAGCAGTTAACATTATGACTGATTTATAAAATTTAAAGGACAAATTAATCTCTTTAATGTATTTCATTTTATTAGAAGAAACAAAATGGAGTTATTTTTTTAGCTATGTATATTCAATTATTTCACTTCCATGTCATGGAAAGTGTACATGAAACCAATACTTAAGTCACTGACCTAAGTTGATGAAGCAGAGTTGTTAGTTTCTTGAAAAGTGATCTTGCTTGGCCTCAGAAAAAAAAAAAAGAACAGGAAAGTTGGTATTAAGTTTCTTTTTGAACCTTTATGACTCTTTTATATTTTTCTGCAACTCAACAGTAATTATAAATCCTGTTTTTTAGCTTGTTGCAACCAATTAAACTATGTTGTATGCTGTAGTTCAAATGACTTATGTGAAAACCATTAATGATAAATGTCAAAATTACTTAGATTCAGTAATCTAAGATAGTAGTTGTAAAATCTTTAGTTGTACATAATTGGTTATGTTGAAAACGATAATAATTTTAGATACAGTTAGTTGAAAACATATTAGCTTATTTTAAGAAGAACAGTAAATATTTAACTAAAATATGTTTGATGTTTTAAAATTTAATACCATTGATGTTGGTAAGCTAATTTTCTTATATTTGTTTAAGATCTTGAATGTATATATGATTTTTTTTTGGTAGGTAACTATAACATTTTACTTCATCACAGTATTGTGTTACTAATAATGTGGGGCTTAAAGAATGCAACAAATCACAATTTGATATTTTAAAGATGTGTAGATTAGTTTAATATATTTGATTGTCTTTAAAATTATTAAGTTATTTTAAGGAAACTATTGTTTCTGTACGTGCTCATTCAGGGTGCTCCAGGTATACCTGGGACAACTGGAGATATTGGACCCATAGGATTTCCTGGTGATCCTGGACCAAAAGGAACAAAAGGAGAGCCTGCTATTGGACCAGCAGGTCTTAAAGGACAGAAGGTAAAATCTGTTCCTACTCTTTCCACAGCATTAAATGAATTTGTTTGCAGCCTTCCCACTCATTTCTTGTGAGAAATTTCCCACATTGTTTTTTTCTATATCAGTCATTATTTGAACACAGAGGTAAAAACTATTTTTATTTTGATGTCCTGTATTTTGTGAAGATTTGTCCTTGTACATATTTATACTCAATAATCTACTCAAAAGTTTGTTCTTTTGATTTATGTTATATAATAAGTTTTGTCTCTGTATTTTTAATTTATCCTTTGCAATAAAACATCTGTTTCTATTTAATAATATCATTGTTGGTAAAAAAAAAAAGCAATCACTCAAACATAATTTTTTAATTTTTGCATAAACTATGAAAGTTAAGGAAGACTATAGTGCTATAAAATATATCTTTATTTCAGTTACTAACACTGAGTGCCAAAAGAATAGCACTAAAATGTTATTGAACATTAGCATATACATAAAACATTGTGGTACTGATTGTTAGATGGAAAAGCATGTAAATGTTGTAAAACATGTATATATATATATATATATATATATATATTACTGGCACTCCAAGAAAAATAATACTAGAAATGCTATAAAATATCTGTTTATCAATCATGAAGACAACTTGCTAACACTAACAAATTATCTTTTTTTTTTTACTAGGGTGAACCTGGTAGAGATGGGACAGTAGGGCCTCCGGTATGTTCATAAGTTTTGGTGATATACTATTTCATAAAGTGTAAATAAGAATGGATATTATTTAATTATGTTAATTAAATAATTTTATTAACTTTAGTTGCTTTCTTATACTTGAAAATTATGTGGAAAAGAAAGAATACCTACAGTCAAACACTGGGATGCAATGAAGATTTTTGGAGTAAAACCAATATCTCAGGTTTTGAAATTATTCATTTTCATAGATATGTAGACTGAATATGTTTTAGGTCACACCTAATGCATCGTTACTCCTTGTAATGTTTGCGTAAAGAACATGAAACATTTATCTCATATACATACAGTTTCATCCCAGTCTGAGAAATATACTTTAAATATGCACATATGCAAGTTACATATAAGTTTAATGCTTACAGACTTTTTGTTGTAGCTTTTGCAGCAGTGCAATCAATGTTTCTTCATTTTAGGGTTCCCCAGGTATTGATGGCTTTCCAGGACCACCAGGAACTTCAGGTCCACCAGGTTTAAAGGTAAGAACTCAGTATTCCCCATGTTGAGAGAGTTATAACTTGATAACTAACTACATTAAATATTTTTGTTAAAAATGTTTAATTCTTTCACTGTCATGTTCACATATTTGTCCCTCTTTAGAGCATTGACTCAGGCAGTTGCATTGGACACACTATGTACCCTTTGTGCTAGCCTTGAAAAGTTTAATATTAAGTAAACTTTCTGTAAAATAGGTAGGCAATAAAATCAATAACCTTATAATTAAGTTTTGAAAATCATAAATATTCTAATTTGCAAATTTTGGAAATAAATGCATGAATAATTATTTTACTTAATCCTTTGTAAAGTATGAGAGCACAATTACCTGTGAAATATTTTAGGCAATCATCTCTAAAAATGACTTCATGGTAATATGACAGATAATAAAATAGGTAAGATATAAGTAATTTTGCAACAACACATGTTTCTGTTCATATCTAAAAAATAAACCTGATACTGGGAGATTTGTCTGTCTGTGGACATGGCATGAAAGAATTAAATGTATTGATCTATTATTTGTTACAATATTTGAATGGAAAGTATAATTAAGATGTACTAGTGTGTCTAGTTCATTTTATTTATTGGAATGAAACAAAACTTATTTTTCCTACAAGTAAACTTATAAATTCTTTTTTTGGGGGGTGAACTAAGTGTGTTGAATGAGTAAATGTCTGTTGTGGCAAGACAGTATACCTTATGATGACAAAACATTTTCAAAAAGTTGTAGAGTTAATGTGTTACTCTTGTAAAATAAACTTCATCACTCATTTAAGTCATCTTCAAAATTAATTGTCTTAGTGTGGATTCCTTATCATCAAATTTTAGTAAAGTAGATGTATACTATTTATTGTTTGTCAAAATTCATCGAACTGTGACTACATTCTGTATCTAATGTTTACATTTTTGCCATAGCAGTAGTAAATAAAATTTTCTTTTGAAAAACAAAAGCCTCTCTAAAAGGCTAACCTACCTGTGCATGTTCATGAAAAATGATATGGCTACAGAAAGTGTTATGTTGATTTTTTTATAAATGTATATATTAAAGTACTTAACTTTTTATTTCTTTCAGGGTGACAGAGGTGATAGGGGTTTAGTTGGAATGAAAGGAAACATGGGTGTAGGTTACACAGGGATGAAAGGAGAACCAGTAAGTAGAAATGAACTGTGATATCTAGTATTAACGGAAACACAAAACAGAAAATTGCTCATAAATATACCTAAATATATTTCAACTTCATTGCCATGATTAGAATGTCCTGTACTTTTCTCATTTTTTTTTATAAACATACTAACCAGAACACACAAACATTAGTTTAATGCAAGCTTTTAATCACATTACCAATATAATTCAGTGTTTTTTAATGTTTTTTATGATAATATTGCTTACATTTTTTTTGTAGAAAATATAAGAGTGTGATTTTATCTTTTAAGGCTCTCACTGTACACCCACCTGAAGAAAACAAAAGCAAAAATTTAATCCACCCTTTGTTTTTCAGGAAACCATCAATTCCTCTCTTAAACTCTTCTAAGTTGTCAACTTTCACTATTGTTGATGGTAATTCATTTTATAAGCTGTTAAAAAATAAAATAATATTGGAGCCTCGCCTGTCTTTTCCAAATCTTAAACTTGTATTCTGTTATATTAAAAATAAAGCAGAAAGAAATCAGAAGTATTCATCATATTGATCCCTGGATAATCTTGTAAACATCAGAAGAAAAATTTGTTAAGAATTCTCAACTATCCCATAAGATAATCCCTCCATTTCAAAATCATCATAGTTGCCCCTCCTTCAAATCTTTTCCATTAAGTCAGTATCCTTTCTTAGATTAAACATATGATCCAAATTATAATATTCTAAATGCATTTACTATTATTAAATGAAATTTGACAACTAACTCACCATTTGATCCAAATCACTCTGTAATACCTCAAAATCTTTACCAATATTTAACAGTAAATGTTTTTGTATATTGAAATTTGTCAGTTTGAGTTGATATATTTTGAAGTAAAAATAGAATACCATAAATTGAAAGGTTTCTTTGTAGTAAGTGTTCCTTTAGTTAATACATTAGGTTTTTCTATTTCCAAAACTCTTAAATGGCTGTTTTAAAAATAATTCTAGGGACTTAAGGGTCATCCTGGTCCACAAGGACCACCAGGGGTATGTCCTAATACTTCAGAACAAATTAAGCCAAATGAGACAAAAATTGGACCTCCAGGACCTCAAGGAGAAAGAGGAATGAAGGTAGAGTAAAATATTAAGATTCATTATAATTATTGATTTTATATCATCTGTAAAGTTTGTTCATTTTTTGTTTTATATAATACTGCATGATTATACCCAGACTTTTCTATTAACTTACAATTGTACTGTCCTGAAAACATATTGCCATGCCAAAAACAATTTCATTTATATTTTCTGATATATTACTTCTTTGATTCTAGTATTTCTTATAAAGAAGAGTAATTTATTTGTTAAAGTATTGATTATTTGTTCATTGACTAATTACCAGGTAAAAATATTTTTTATGAAAAAATTGTTGGTAAACCATTCATCTTTCTGCTTTTAATTTTTAGTAAATGCTTACATAGTAAACGTATTGATCCTTTTATCATTAAACATTTTAGAATTAGCTACCTGGTAAGAGTGTTGGTAATTTTTTCATTGATTTTATTAAGGTAGTTCTATTTCAGTTAGTCCTAGTGGGTAGGCAAAATAGACATTATCCTGAGTGATAAAGAGTACTTGGGCTGCAAGAAAAAAGTAACTTGTTATGATGTGTCTTTTCAAGTGAACATAATGAGTAAAACACTACAGAGCCCTCACTTATTCTTATCATCTAGTGAACAATAGTAAGTATGAAAGACAAGAACAGTAAAGTTAAGTGTCAAATTTTGTACAAACTGTATTTTTCAAAGTGTGTTTGCCATTTTTCTGGGCTTACACAAATGGGATGTTCATAAGAAGTTTGTAACTACTCTAAGCCACTTCTAAACACTTATGGAAGAGTAGACTTGAAGTTGTGAATTCTATTTTTTATTGAGTAGCACAGAGTTGTATGATACTTTAGTAGCCTTAGCATAAGATGTCACTCACGAACAATAACAAGGTGCAAAGCTAAGATCTTGCTGCTGAACTCAGAAGCTCCAAATTCTCATGTTGTCTAGTAATTTGGCATGATGTGTTTTTCAAGTGAACATAATGAGTAAAACACTACAGCACCCTCACTTATTCTTATCATCTATGACACCAGTTATAGAAAAATTTAAATATTCTCTAGAAAGAGCTCAGTCTGATGAGGGATTTGCAAAACCTGACAGATTCAAAAGTACTAATCAAGGTGATGGAGATTAATGCAAATTTCCAACCAGAGACTGAAATTAATCAGAAATGAAAGAAATGTATGCTGGAACATAAGGGAAGGGATGAACCCATTCAAAACCCAGTTCAACAATTCAAAATAATTTTTATATCATTCTTGACATAACCATTCAGGCTCTGCTAGAAAGATGGTCAGTTTAAACACACAGTGACTTATTTGTGATCCTATATGACTTATCAAACCTAAACAATGAGAATTTAAATGACATCAGAAATCATTGCAAGGACCTTGACATTTTTCTTATGGATCAACAATCTCAACCAAGAGATGTAAGGCACTAAACCTTGAATGCTAGTAATAATCCTACCAGGAACAATCTAATTATATGTTATGGTGTATCAGCAGAGAATAAATTCACCTCTCTGTTCTCAAGTGTGTACATTGCATTGAGAATTCTTCTGACATTGCTAGTGACAGTTACTAGTGGAGAATGCAACTAATCAAAATTTACTGAGATCTACAGTGACAAAGGAGCATTTAATTGCTCTTTCCATCATATAGATTAAGTATAAGTTTGTTGATCTTAAAAGAGTTTGCTTGAGATTTTGTATCAATAAGCCCAAAAAAGGAATTTTTATGTGAAAATCATATCATTTTTTGTTTTTGTAGTGTAAGTACTGAACTTTGAATTCTAAATGTTTAATTTTTAATGGAAATTTCAAACTTAAAAAGATAAAAAAATTCAACTGTTTGCATACAATGATAACAAATGTGTATGTTGTATGATATACAATAGTACACCATATCTTTATAATTTAGTTAGCCTATACAAGCAGTCTTATAACAGTTCATTCTGTTTAACAACAGACAACTAAAGATCCATTCATATAATTCAAGTAATGATTTGTTTTTACCTTATGACTGCTCTGAGTCTAAGAACATATCTGCTACACATCTGCTGAACTCATCATTAAAAGTGAGGTTGATCAAAAAAAAAGGGATTCAATTTCAATAATGTGAGAGAAGATGTGCCCTAGTAAATATAAAAACTAAAGGAGAGTCTCCTATGAAACAAGGTAGAGTTGACAAGTATGAAGGTATGATTATTGGCAAAATATTGGTATTTTTTTCTCTCTCTTCTGAATGATTATATGGTAAAAGTTTTCTCATCTCTAATTTGAAATTTTGAGAAAATAACAGTTTCCTGTCACATAAGGGAGAATAGGTGGACACAGTTACTTGGTTATAATAGTGTTTATTTTTTTGTTTTTTTATAAGGTAAAGGTTTCACAAATTATAATTATAATTTTGAGAAGTAAAAGGAGCCTCTTGTGGAGCAAGGCAAGAGTGACAGGGAACCATCATTTGGCAAGAATGATAATAATTGTTTTCTTATCCATTTGAAGGTTATTTATGTAATAAAAGATTCATTATTTTGAATATAGCATTTTGAAAAATAATTAAAAGATATAAATCTCTCATATCTAGACCCATAATATTAGATGTACACACACACACACCAATATATATATTGGTATATTTTGAACTCATTGACTAATTCTATACCAGCCATCTAGATATTTAACTTGGGGGCAGTTAAAAGTTTGCAAACTAACCATTTTTAATTAAATCAAAACATGAAAAACATTGTATTAACCTAGAAACTTCATAGTCAGCTGAAGCTCTTGTCTTAAGTCATCAAGTGTTGATTTATTTGTTTTCATTGATGTGAATGATAGAAAAATGTGTGAAATACTGAGGACTATATTTAACAGCAATTGTGTCTCATTTTTCTTAGGGGGAGAGAGGAGAAAGAGGAAGAAGGGGTTATGATGGAATTCCAGGACCTCAGGTAGAGCAAACTTACTTATAATCTTGCATTGGGGATTTGTGTTATTAATAGGGATGCACGGTACCCAGCCATATATTTGGCCCTGGCCATTTATTGGGCTACCTGGTAATACTCGGCTTCGCCCGAGTGTCAAAGTTACAAACAGCCGAATCCGGGTAATTGAATATGGCATCTAAGCCCTAATCTCTGTGGCAACTTATGCGGTGCTGAAAGTTGCAGTTTAGTTAAAAAAACGTGTTCTGGGCATCAAAGACTGACTGCCCGCTGAAAGTTGGGGATTCAGAGAACAATATAGGTTAATAACAGGTATGGCTTGAGAAGTGAATTTCTGGGGAAGGTGGGGGTTTTGAGAACAATTGGGATATGGGTTTGTGAAGTTGGGGCTAGGCATTAATTGGAATAATGATTTTAAAGCGTGTCAACATGACTGTTTCCACATTTACTTTCACTAGCCTCACTTTTGGAAGTCAGATGAAGCTCTATTTCCCACAATGGCTAGGCAATAGCAAGGCATTATTTCTCTGCACTTCTGACTATTGTAGACAGTGAATGGGCTTTTAGCACCACTGGCAACATTATTACACACAAAAGCTCAAGGCTTTTACCCAAAAATTCCGAAATGCTACTGTTCCTCAAGTACAATTTAAACAAATTCCAAAAACACAGGCATTCTGCAAACTGGTGTGCAATTTTTGTTAGTTCATATTGAAAGTAAAACTGGTATGTTCTATTGGTGATTATTTGGTTAAATGTAATAAACATCAATTTTGTTTTAGTTTCTAATTTTTGTGTATGTTTTTTTTGGGGGGAGGGCGAGGGGAGAACTCAGTCCCAGGTGACACCCGGCCAGGTACTCGGACCCATTATTCGGCAAAATTTTACTACCCATACATCCCTAGTTATTAGCTTGGTATTTTTGTCTACCCATGAAAACACTTATCTAAACATTTTTTGTCTAATATGTTTTATTTAATTCACAAGAAATACTTGTAGTTGTTTCTATATTTTTAATATATTGTATTTTAGATTTCTTATAAAGAAAGGGGTCATTCGGTAAAGATTTAGTGGATTTATAATGAAAATTTAGAATAAAGACACTTTGATACAATATTAGAGCAATTGTTTATGAATTTAGGCAGCTTCTACTTCAATTTCAGAAATCTGGTTCTATATAGGTTAGAAATATTTTAATTTGTTAATAAACCATAAAATTTATATTATTAAATCCAAAATGCTTGCCACAGTGTAATTTCTTTTTTTTTGTCTATGCATTTTATTATAATATGAGTATCTTGAATGGACAGTTTGGTTAATTTTAAACTTTTCAGGGCAAACATGGAGACATTGGTATGAAGGGAGAAAAGGGTTTAGCTGGAATACCAGGACCAAGAGTAAATATATTGTTACATTTATTAAGCAAATATATATATATAATCTAACATATCTATGACATATTTATATTACTCACCAGATAACTAAAGTCTGCCTAAACTTTCATAAAAATTAATAAATTTAGACATTTTGGTTTTATGCTAGTCTTATGCTGGTTGACAGTCACAAGATTCTTTAAGTGTAGATCATTCTTATGTAGTGTCTCAAATTAAAATATATTTTGTTTGGAACTTGTATTCTTTTCCAAAACAATGTGGTTAGTTATTTCAGTTGATGTCCAAAACATAGTGCACAAGTAAACCTTTTATTGTTTATTTAAGCCACCTAGTCATGGATCCAATGTGTATCTTCTAACTCTTCAATAACAATTGAATATGTAATTAACATTTTGATACTTACCTTTGGAAAACATAAATACTAACTGAAAAGTGATTTGAACGTAAGACATTTTTTAAATTATCAACAAAGTCAGCATAAGGATACATTAAATTTCAACTTTAATAGCTTTTTCATGCTAAAATATATGATTATTCACAATTTCTAGAACCCAGATTATCAAAACTTGTATTAAAATAATATTAAAGCAACTACTATAGAATCAAAAAAATCAATTCTACACTTTATTGAAGGATTCACTTTGGTTCTGATAAATACTCTCTTCAACATTTTATTATCTTTATGAACTAATATGTACTAAATGACACTTTCATTTTATTTGTGTTCACATATAGGATTGGATTTTGCATATTTGCTTTTGAATATGAAAGTCATTTAATAAATTGATACCATTCTCAGATAGACTCATTAGAACATATTTCAACAGAGTTGATTCAAGGCTAAGCACTTGTATGTTACCAATTACTCTGCCTTCTCAGATAAAGAAATATAGTGGTGGTTGTTTACTAGAAGAAAACATAATTTAAATTTACTATCATGGCTTACAAAATTGAAATAATGCATTCACTAAATATGAATGCATTATTTCAATAGGAACTTGTAAGTTTTAGATTCAAAGTTAAATTTCCAAATTATTTTTCATAGTATTCCATTAAAACTTTTTTGAAGTTTACAGTGTTTTGGCAGAATTAGGATATCTTGCTCCTTGCCTAACCTTAATTATACAAGCTCTATACAATATTTTTATGTATGTTCAGTTCTACTCTGCAGGGTAGAAATGTGAACCCTGACTGCCAAAACAAAATGACAGTTGGAAGCATATATGGTGTTATAGGTGAATGATGAAGTTCAGCTACCTAAAAAGGAAAACTAAAGAGCAAGTATTTTAACATGCAAAGATAAAAAGACAACAGATAACATATGTAAAAAAATGGGAGATACACTACTTTGGCATATAATAACTCCAAAGGGAAAGGTGACTGAGATTCTGGTTGGCCATATTGAAGGAAGGAGAGTTTAGAGGCAGACAGAGACTCACTTGGCTTAGTTACATTAGGGAATGGATTGGAGATGAGAAATTTAGTGTGAGAAGCAAGAAATAGATATCAATGAAGAGCCATGGTTGTTAGTCCTGAAAATTGGGGAGGATACTATGATTGGTTTATTTATACATTATTCATCTTTTAAGAAATAAGCTTGACTTTTATCATTGTGTTTTTCATAACTTTGATGTGCAGCCATATTCATTTATGAGTATATTCCTAAAATATACAAACTCAAAAAAATTTCCCCTGATCTCGAATGTCATATTGACTAGCCACTTTAATAGGATCCATACCTAGTATTGGGTTGGACTACCTTTAACCTGAACTGTATATGGCATGACTTCACAAGATGTTAGAAGGTATTTTGTTCAATTATAGTGCACTACTGGAAAGTCTGATATGCATTTGATTCATAAGTATTAACACAGTAGAGTATTATTGTAGCAATGACTTTAAAGTTCCTCCCAAAGATGCACAATTGAAAAAGATCTGATGACTTTGTTGGCTAAGGAAGATGACTGATGTCACTGTCGTTAACTTTTTTTAATCAGTTTCAGATAACATAAACTTAACTGATTGTTACTTTGTCATCTTTTAAAAGCTGTTGTTCACTGAAGTGAAAATGCAACATTGTGGGGTAGATATGATGGACAGAAACATTAGGGTGTACTGCAAATGTTATTAACCTTGCCAAACGAACCACAGAATCAAACCTTTAATATAGAAATCTTCCTCACACCATTACACCACCTCTAGCACTTCCCATTCTCAGAACATCATAAATAAGGTCAGGTGCTTCATGTATTATCCCCATATTTTGACTCTGTTGCAAGTACAGAAAATTATGAATGTACCGTATTACGTTATTTTAGCCATTTATTCTCTACAGTTTGAGTTCTAAGGACATAAAAATCTATGCATTTTGTTTGGATCTGAGATAAGTGATTTTCCGGTGGTTACCATATGACAGTTTATGTAATGTGTTGTGTGTTTTATGATTGGAAATATTTGAATGTTGGACATATTCTGATGATTGTTATGCTATCCAAACATCTTTTTCCTTATTTTATCACTGGAGTATGTATATTACCTTTTCAATGGCATTATTGACAGCTGTGTAAAGAAACTGCCTTTGACAAAAATGCTACTTTTAGACTGGCATTTATATTGTTTCCTTTTGATGGTTGGAGAGATCCTTGTTTTATAACCTTTGTTCTGCAGACCAACCAAGATGTGACTACATATCTATGTTTATAGGGCTCATACAGCCATTGACATCACATAACCAGTTGCTTAACTAAATTCATAAAATTTTCTACAAATGTATGGGTTTTAAATAGAATATCCAGTCATTCTACATTGGTGTTGACAACAAATAACATTATAATAATGTAGTTCAATATGCTTAAATCTTTTGCTTGATTTTAGAGAGAATTACTGGCATTTTTTGAAAGACAGTATGAAATGTGAGGGTGTGGCATGTGGGTTGAGCTGTATGGTTTATATCTAAAGAAAACAAGATAATTGGAAGTGATAAAGTTTGATTATATCTTAGTAATTTTTTTTGTACTATGTTTAATTCAGATTAAAAGCATTATGTCCTATATAATAGTTTGCCAATTTGTACTGATTTTTTTATTATTAGCATATTAATAATGTGGTATTCTAATCTTTCATTTATTTTATTTTATTCTATTTGTACAATTAAATTATTATAAAAATTTCATATGGCAAGCTTTAAGCTAGAGTCAACAGATAATATAGTTACAAATCTCATGAATAACAGGGGAAATATGAAGATAATAAAAACTATGTACTATTAAAGAAAACTTGTAAATCACATTAAAAATATTATAAAACTATAGTACTTTTTGAACAGTTGGACTTGTTGAAAGTGCAGGAGCTGAAGATGAAGTATCGAAACATTTTAGCACATGACCCATTGTCATTCTGAATAAGTTCTATAGAATTATCTTAGGCATCAGATTAGCAGAGTTTATATAATAAAGATGAGAATTCTTCTTTCATCGGTAGTTTTGTTCATTTCTTTGCAGGGTAAAGATGGTTTTCCTGGGCCACCTGGACCAGATGGTTTTAAGGTCAGATTTTTTTTTAAATCATATTTCACAATGCATGGATCTAAAATTATTAGCTTCATGTAAACAATATACAGCAGAAGAGATAAAATTACATATTGTGAAATATACAATCTAAAACTATTAGCTTCATGTAAACAAGTATATTTCACAATATGTAATTTTATCTCTTCTGCTGTATATTGTTTACATGAAGCTAATAGTTTAAGATTGTATATTTTACCGTATGTAATTTTATAGCTTCTGCATACTACAGACTGACAGAACAAGATATTGTTTTTCTCATGAAATTTATTGGTAGTTGGAAACAAATGTTCATCACTATAATTTGTGAATAATTTTATATAGATAGAGTAATTTGGTAAGTGACATTGACACTTGATTGAAGAAAAATTATGAGTGACTTCTAAAAATTTCATTTTCAATACTGTTATCATTTTTTACTAAAGAAACCTTTCTTTAGTCAGTTATAATAACCTTTGTTTGATTGCTTTTAAATTTTGGGATTTACCTTAAAGTTATGCATGTGTAAATCAGGTATGAATTAGAAAGCATATTCTATTTCCATGCTTTTCTTAAGATTGTTTGGGTAATTTATTCAACTACAGGTAGATTTTAACCTGACTTTGAATATTCATTGTACAAATTTACTTGTTATGGTGACAAAATGTAGATACCTGATCAAACTTCAGTGTTGTCAGTATATAATGTTGTAGTATTGTTATGACAGCAGGGGTCACGTGATGCTAGTAACATGTCATATTCTCGAAGGTTCGTGAATCCTCGAGTGTTTACTAGATGTACTGTATTCTTGTATATAAGATGGCCAAGAAGTGACGTCAACAATGTAGTTGAATTGCAGACAGAGATAGAGACGGACAGTTGGGTCGAGCGCGTGATTCGTTCGTTGTGAATTATAGCGTTAGTTTAACTTGTAGTGTGACTGTAGAAATTAAGTGTATTGCAAAGTTGTATTGAGAAAGAATAAACCAGTTTTATTTAAGAAAGGACTTGTGTCGCTAAAGTTTTATCAGAAAGAAATTATACGGGAAATTAACTAACGGCCAGAGACGTAACAGTATTAACAGTTGCACTTTATTAGCCTTGAACTTCTGCTATATTTAATAGGGAGATATTGGAGAGAGTGGACTTCCTGGGTTAAATGGACTTCCTGGTATGAAAGGTGAACCTGGAAGAGAAGGAGAATCAGGTCCAAGAGGCTTACCTGGTCCACCAGGACCTCCTGGAGTGAGTTGTCTTTAATTTTTCAGTTTGCTTAAGATTCTTCAGGTAATACACTAGTATCGATAAAGCATATGAAATAATATGTTTTCATTGCACTAATTCAGTAATTGCATTTAAAACATTTCTTTTTTGTTACATTGGTTTTATATTAACTCTCTGACCATGGGGAGTCAAGGTGCACACCTTTTTATAGAATTACATTTATGATTTAATGAACTTTATTCTTAATGTATGTCAATAAACTTGGCATCAAACATAGTTTAAATTTTAAAAAAATATGTTTTAATTTCCTAATTTAAAAAGAAAATATTACAATAAATTCAAAATTATTACTTTTCTTTGACACTTCTTTGCTCAGAATTGCTAAGTTTGGATTTTCTCTCTACAAGTATATGATCTTCTGAGTTTGACACAATTTACACACTTATATTATAGATATTGTTAAACCATAATGTAAATTTATACATGTAACTTCCAATCTTCTTGCTTACAAAACGGTACTACCTGCTTTCACCCAAAACTATCTTGACCTTGATTTGCCCTTTAAGCATTGCTAAAATTTTCAACAGCTCACCTGTCTATTATACCCTTTCATTTTTGTGCCATTGTAGTGATGTGTGCTGATTATGTGACTACCCTCCACCAACTATACTAGGCAGGTAGCTCTCCCTACCATTGCAGTACAATCCTCACTTTCTCGAATGGCATTCTAGTTTATAGACATGTGTTTTAACTCCTTCTCCATGTGACTACAAAATTTTGATTGTGCTTGATCACAAATTTATATCAGTTTCAACTTCAAGTTTTGACTTCTTGTGTTTGAAATGTTTCTGTTTTACAAATTCTACTTTGTTCATATGCATTCAAGATTTAATATGGCAGATGATAAAATTCCCACCACAAGTAGACAATGGTTCTTAGACTGGTCCTCACGTGTCAGGATTGACGATGTCTGCTGGGGAAGCACAGACTTTAGTTTGTGGGGAGTTAATGTCTTAGTTTGGCTAGGGATTTTTTCCTTTCAAGTTACGATTTTTGTGCAAAGGGATAGACCTACTGTGTAGAAAGTTTCTTTTTAAGGCACTTTCCACCTGATACTTTGCCTTGTAATCTGCTGGTTTAGGTATTGTGGTAAGTTATTCAGTTTGTATTTCTCACTCCTCATAGGTATACCATGTTCAATGAGTTTATGGGAGCTAGTGTGAATGGATCTAATTTCCACACTATATAATTTAGATCATTCATGTCCTCTCTGTTTACTGTTGGGTAAGTTAGATTTTTATACTTCTTTTACCATCTTTGTTACTTTCGTTTAAACTTGCATTTGGAGATTGTTTATTCCTTTATTTTTGTTTAAATTTTTACTTCTTTTCACTGTTAATATTATTTAGTTTGTTAGTTCTTTCTTTGCTACTAGTCAAATCTAATTCGGGGATTGGTTTTTGAGTCAAACTTTGTTATTGTTAACTGGGTGCCTTTTTATTCTCATGTTCTTCAGGGTATGATTTATTTTTGTGTCCTTTGTTTATAGATTCTTTGAATGGACCTATATGCTCGATATTTAAGGGTCATTTATCTTCTCAGTTCATTTAGTGGTTTTGTACTTTAGGTGTTACTTATTGTTTTATGTTTTAGGTTGAATTTTATAGTTTTTGTCGGTTATTTTTATGTTCTTTGTAGAGTACACGTTTCTAAGTTTTGTTAGTTTGTTAGTAATGAGTACTTTCTCAAAGTTCTTTAGTTTATGTGTATTTTTAGCTACACTTCACAACAGTTCCACAGTTTATACAGGTTCTCTCTGAGTGTTTCTGCCTTTTTTTTTCACTCCTCCTCTATCCATTTCTCAGATCTTCTTCCATCCTCCTTTGGATCATATCTTATCCAGTCGTCTTACCGAGTTTGTTCAAGTCCAACTACACAAAGGAGCTATTGAACAGGTGGTGCCCACTCAACCAGGATTTTACTCCTGTCTTTGTTTTGTCTCCAAAAAACATAGGAGGGTAGGGTGGTTGTGGTTCACTCTGACAATTCCATTATCATCAGCTTTCTCACCAAGCAAGGGGGAACTAAGTCCAGATCTCTGTCTTTTCATGCCTCTCTCCCTATCAAATATCAATAATTCTCTCCAACATTTGCTATTGGACTATTTATAACCAATAGAAACAAAAGATTTTAATTAACTGAATCCTTTATAACACTAGCTCATTCTAACAACAGTTTTTGAATTATTCAGTCTCAGTTTCATTGTGTGCTATCGCTGAGATCACCTCAACAGTCTAAAAAATTATTTTACTTGTAGTTTAGTTAGGAAGCCAGATAAATTATAGCAGTTGTAGGACATTTTCTGTTTTGTTTGCGGTCAGATCTTATTGATCTAAATAGCATATTTGAAATAAGTAAATAGAAAAAGATGGTTAAAGTTTGTCAAATCTCCAAGAGCAAAAACTTAAAAAAGACAAGGGCCGATAGGTAAGTACTAAATTTTTAATGTATATTTTTTAGTCATTGTTACAAAAGTAACTGAAATATAAAAATTAGAAACTTATTATACTAGATAAGAAAACGTAAATGAAGAAATAAGTTGCTTGTGAGAGCACATGCACATGATGAGGTATTGCGTGAAGCGTGATATGTAATTTCACCCAGTTTGTGCTGATAATTTGATTTTTTGTTTACACAAAGCTGCCATCCTGTAATGAATGATTTTCACTGTACTCTAAGTGTAGTGTAAAGCTATAAATTTAAATGACCCCAAAATTGAAAAAGTATTAGCTTTGGCTCTAAGAATAAATAGTATATAATTGTCTGTTATAATATACAGTCATTTTAGAAAGAAAAAAGAGCGTAATTACGATTTATTTTGTGTTTTTCAACTTTTCCTTTTACTCTACATTGCTGATTTTGCTACAGTTAGTTTGAGAGTATAGAAAATAAAATACAAAGTTTAATAAAAAACTTCATATTCCTTTAGGAGGCTCGTAAAGTTAAGTAAATGAAATATGAAAAACTGTAAGATAAAAAAAGTATTTTTATTTTAAACATGAAAATCACCTTACACTCAGACTAACTCAGTGAAAGCTTTGTAAATTCAGAAACAAATCTTTTGTAAACATCTTTTATTAAAAAATCTGATTTTTTTTGCATACAACAGACTTCTAATGTTTACTAAAATCTTGCCAACAAGACTTAAAGCTTTAAACTATATTCAGACTTATAGTATCTCTAGTTTTATGGTTGCTTAGTGTGACAAGGTTAGTCAAAAGAACCAAATCTGTATATTGAGAGTTAATCTCTGACAAAAATAAGCAGTGTGTATATATTTTATAACTAATTAGATAAAAAACCATTCCAAATCTGTTAATTGATAAAAAATTAACTTACCTCTAATTTCAGGGATCTGAAGGAGTTGCAGGACCACCTGGACCTCCAGGACCTAGAGGTCCTAAAGGACCAGCTGGTTATCCAGGAACAGATGGTATACCAGGTATGTTCATGATATGTTTGAAATTGTAGTGTTGATGATATATTACAGGAAGGAAGGAGTTTGATTTAGCAATGACTAAGTTTAAAGACAGATGGTAATGACTCTGTTCAGTAATTGTAGTGGAAAAGATTATAGCAGTAATGAAACTGAAATACTGATGATTTATTTTGATAATCAGGTGATGTTTACCTTTAATACTATTAATTAAACTGGTGCTGATTGCTTGATGTTTGTTTAGTACTTAAGATGTTAATTGTATGTATTACGGGTTGATTATGTTGTATCAAAGTGACTTTTAATATGCAAATTAGCAAGTCACATTAAACCCACAACTATTATAATGCCATGGTGAAATGGCATGTTTCAGAACTACATTTTAACATTTTTAGTGTTCCTTGAATGACACAGAAAATTAATTATTTCTGGGAAGGATATGTAACAGCCATTTCCAGTGCAAAATGTTCATACACTTAAATCATAAAGATTTGTACAGATCAGGAATTTATAATTTCCAAGATAAAAATATCCCTTATATTTAATGACATTGAAAAATAAGGAGTATGGATTCACATGGAGCACCTTGACCATCCAGAAAGAGACCTGCAACATTTCTCACCCCATCCATGGTTACTTAAATATGGCATCTTGTAACAGGCAAGTATTCAGTAACACAAAGGTTGGTGGAAGAAGCTGTATGTGTGTCCCAGGCAACACTAAACAACATAATCAAGAAGGATCTTGGTCAGAGTATAGGTTCAACAAGATAAGTCTTCCGGTCATTTTACCATTCAGCTGTTACATACCTCAAGCAGCTGGAAAATTTATTGGGTATTGATGCTGTTCCAATAACAAAGACAAGTCACTAGGTGCAGTATTTGTTTGGAATTCTGTGTAATTAGACTGTTAAAATAGGTAGTGGAAAACCATCATCATCATACTCAATTTCTGTATACATATACATGCTAGTATGTTTAAGTTTGTACAGCTAAATATTGGACATATACATAAACCAAGGAAAGACTTATCTCTCTCTCTCAGTTTGGTTGAGTTAACTCCACTGAATTTATAAAATTTAATAGCCATAAAACCTATTTTACAATAAATTTCTAATTTTTCGTGGAATGTCATGATCCTTTTATTATTTTACCATGCACTCTTTTGAATTTAGACACTTTTACAAGCATCTTATCATTTTGTATAATGAATTCTGGGAATAAGTTTCAAGAGTACTTCACCAATCTCACTATGAATGAGCTATATGAAATAATTATTTGTGTGTCAAAAAGGATGTAGACCTTTTGTTCCGAAACGGTAGTACCTTCTATCACCAAAAGCTATCTCAACCTTGATTTACCCTCTAAGCATTGGTAAAAATGTTTTTGTTAATAGCACACAGTCTATAATACCCCTTTATTTTTGTGCCATTTCAGAACATGTGCATATCATGTGACTACCCTCCTCCAATCATACTGCACCACCTATACTAGCCCCAGTCAGCTCCCTCTACTATTCCAGCACAATCCTTACTTTCTTGTTTGGCATTACAGTGTATAGATGTGTGTTTACTTCACTCCCTGTGCTTACTTTTTATTCTGATTGCATTTTAGTCCTTCACCAGTTTAAACTCAGTGTTTGCTTGTGATATTTAGTTTTGTTTTTCAAAGAATTCTTCTATAATTTGAATTCTAATTTGAAATATGAATTCAAATTTTATGGTGGCGGATGACAAGGTTCCCACAAGTAATGGGGATAGTAACGTCACTAGTCCCCAGCAAAGTAGGTTGACGATATCTACCGAGGAAATTCAAGTCTTAATTCACAGGAAGTTGGACACTAGTAATCAGCAGCCGGTTCATTTTCCCTTTCTCCCTGAACAAGCTTCTGAGGAAGAATTTATTCAGAGTGAAAATAATTTGGACTTTATTTTTCCAGCTCCAGCCTTTGTTATTTATTCACATAATGCTGACAGTCAGGACAGTTCACTGACCTCACCATTTCTACACCTCATTAATCAGGTATGTCAAATTTAAAGGTTTCACCCTTAGCCCTTGATTCCTCTCTTACCTTGTTGGGTGAAGAACCTTGTTTTGATTCCTCGCCCAACATCCAAGTTCATGCTTAACCTTTTGCTGGTCAACTGTTGTCATGTGTGGTTTTGAATCCATGGGCTTTGATCCACTTTAATAAATCTAAGTTTTCTAGGATTCATCTTGCCCTGACCATCCTTTTGCGTGTTATTTCCTTATTACAGTTGTTGTCTCAAGCCTTTTGCCAGTCACCTGATCAATTTTCTGATGATCTCAGGACCCTCCTGTGGTTTACTCTGGCCCATATATCAGCATCTGCATTGTCTCTCAACACCTGGTTATTATGTTGTTGGGATTGGGGTTTGTCCTGAGTCTTTGTAGGATGTGGCAAGGCTGCATTCCTCCTTGTCCTCCCTGGCATCTCATCTGTCTGGTTTGGCTGTTCCCTCCCAAACATTCGAGTTCCCTGTGCTCCTTCTTCCTCTTCCCGTCCCTTACTCTATTCCAAGCATTTCCATCCTTACCCAAGTTTCCCATTCCTGTTCCTCCAAGGGTCAGTGGTATAGGTGATGGGATGTATTTTCTATGGTAGGTGGAGGCCAGGTTGCAACAGTTCTCAACCATTTGATGTATCTTCATCAAAGATCTGTGGGTTTTATGGGTACTGTCAGAGGATCTTTACCTTCAGTTCAGGTCCCTTCCCCTATCCTCTTACACAGTTTCCTTCCCTCTTCCTCAGGATTTTGTCTCGTCTAGTCACCTCACCGAGTCGGTTTGGGGCCTCCTACACAAAGGAACTATTGAACAGGTAGTGCTCACTCATCCGGGATTTTCTCACACCCGATTACTTTTTTGAGAAGCTGCTAGGGTGGCTTTCTTATCAAGTTGGAGAAGTCCCTTCTAACCCCTACACAATATGTTATTCATTTAGGGATTTTCTTCAATTCCCATCTCAGTTGGGTCTAACTTTCTCCACTTCAGTTCAGGGATATGCTCACCTGTTCACAGATGCTTCTTTGATAGGTTGGGGCAGTGGTCAGTCATGGAAATTACATTCCATATCAATCTCTTCATACTTTTGGCTATTTGTTGGGCTGTGTCTAATTTCCTCCCACTCCTCCAGAGGCAGGTGGTGATGGTTCCTTCTAACAATTCCACTCTCATCAATTATATCACCAAGGTAGAACCAAGTCCTGGTGTCTGTGTTTTCAGACACTTGACATCCTGTACTGGGCCCAAGATTACAATTTAACCATTTTAGCATGTCATGTTCCCAGAATTATGAATCTGGTTATTGATCGCTTGTCTCGTCCTTACCAAGTTCTACCTATGTTTTGTCATGTTTTGCTAGTTACTCCATATTGGCTGGCTCAGATGTGGTTCCCTCTGCTCTGGCCCTTACTGGAGCAGCAGCCCCTGCCCTTACGTCTGTCCAGGTCACTCCTCTGACAACTAGATGTCACCAAATTCCATCTTCACACATAGCTTTTGTCCAGTCCCTCGCCTCAGCTTAGAGACTCGTGCCTCATGTAGTGTCTTTCTTTACTCGTACCAATCGGCCTTCCTAAATATCCATGTCCCAGAGACATTGGTCTAACTTCAGATGGTGGTTCTTTCCCCATGGCTTCTGTCCTTCCCGTCCTTCTGTTCCAATTTTTTACTTGGTTCTTTGTTTGGAGTTTGTCCATGTCAATGGTTGCTAGTTATCAGGCTGATCTGTCAAACACATTCCATTTCTCCCAATTCCGTATAGTTTTTCCCTCCCTGATATTTCCCTCCTTTTCCTTTCCTTTTGTCTTGTTCATCATCCATGTCCTTTTGTTCTTCCAGATTCCGATTTCAGTGTTGTTCTTCATACCCTGTGTTCCTTGTACCATCTTTCCCTTAAGACCTATTTCCTTCTCCACCTGGCATGTGGTTGTCATCGTTCTGATGTTTATGCCATTAATGTTTCCTGTGTCTTTTACCATTCCTCTTACGTTATTCTTTCTCCAGATTGGGCTTTCCTTCCTAAGACAGCTGCTGCTCATGAAGGTCGTTTTGCCTTTTCTCCTATTTCCTTAACATTTATTTCCCACCTGTACTCATGTATGGATCTGGATTGTCTTCTCTGTCCTGTAAGTTCCCTGCATTGTCATGTGTCTCATACCACCTCCTTAATGGCTCCTGTTCCTGCCTATTTATTCCCTGGAATCCCTCTATTTCCCAGGACATATCTCCTGTTACCCTTGGCTGAGATCGGTAACTTTGGGAGAGGTTGTTCAAGCATGTATGGGGATGATTCCCAAAACATTCATAGCATACTATCTGCACGTTTTGGCTGTATCTTCCTCAATTAGATATCATCTACCTCTGGTGGAGATTCTCTACACATCTGTTTGCTTTTTCAGTTGACATACATCATATTTCAGGATCCCACTTAGTGGCAGGTATTGTCTGTTCAAGTATGCTGAATATTAGATCTTTGCACTAAATATGTATATTTCTAAATGCTCACTGTATAGATGGGGTGTTTCTGTAAAACCACTGGATGCTTTTCTGGTGGTATATATGTATATATCAAACTCTTATTATCAATGTATTTGATATAAAGGACCATCACTCATGGACTTCATGAACAAAACAGATGGGGATTTTTGCCCATCCCCATGGACCCATGATTTGTACAATCTGCTATTCAAAATAGGGAATCAGACACCCATTGCACAGTCTCCAGTGTGTCATTCCTTCAGACTCTCCTTTTTTCCTTCTAGTGGAGCACAGGAGTCTTTACCATTCCTGTTCCCAGTTGCTGGAGTGGTGGACAATGGAGGTTTCCTCTTGAGTGGGGTTTTACAATGAAAGAAATCAAACTCACAACTTATAAGTACCTACTCAGTGAGAAGAGGGCTGTCATCATTATAGTTATTGAATAGGCAATAACACACTATTCTGGATCCAAATTGCTTCCCCTGGATGTTTTCCTCGGGCTGACAACACTTGTTGATCATAATATACATGCTTATGCAAGGTGCTTTCACTAAATGTTTCTGTCTGGTTGGACCACACTTCACTTACTCAACAGAATCCCAAGGCACTTCCCCTGGATGTTTTTGCCTGGGTGGACAGCACTTCTTGATCTTAAAAACTTATACAAGGCACTTTCACTGTTGTTTTTGCCCAGATGGACCACACTTCTTAATCTTAAAAACTTATACAAAGCACTTCCACTGTTATTTTTGCCCAGAAGGACCACATTTGGCATAATATGACGTATCCCCTGGATGTTTTTGCCCATGCACACTGCACTTAGCCTATTCATATACAATTTACGGTTCTTTAGCCCTAGCCACTTATGCCTATATCACATTATCTGGCAACTTACTATGACTAATTATTACTATATTACACACTATGACCTACTACATATGTGGACAAATAATGCATTATCTGTTGAGAATGGGCTGATTCCAAAATTATCAGACAAAATTTCATCTCATTACTTATTTATGATGCTCCTCCTGTTTATTTTTTGTTGTTGTTTTTTTAAGGGGAAGATTACTCTTGTTGCTACCAATATCCTTGACAAGACATCAACGGACTTGCTCCAGTGTGCTCCAAGACACTTCTTTTGGTGCATAATTCTTCAGGCCCATTGTTGATTACATACTAGACATTTCAAGTGTCCAGTCTATGCTGATTCATGTCATAGTTGTACTGCACTGTTCCAAAGCAAAGTGCCATATATCTTTTTCTTGAGTATATGGTGCCTGCCTCATACATTCTGCCCTATGTATATTACTGTTTCATTACTGGGGGAGGAGCATACCTGTTCCAGAAGTAGTGTTATACCCCACAGGTGTGCTTTACTTTCTTCTTCTGGCACACCTATTCTTTTCATATGGTTGTTATCTGCTTATTTGAATACTGTCACACCTTCACCGGCCTCTCCACTTTTTCAATGTGGGATTCTAGCTTTGTGTGAGAGGAGGTAGTATCATTTCAGAAGTTAACATTTTCCTACACTGAAAATGTATTTCCATTAGATACTTATCTCCTCTCACCCTTTCTTCCCACTGATATACTAGTGTTTTAGTTTGTAGCTGCAAATTCTTGAAAGTGAGGATTGTGCTAGAATAGTAGAGGTTAGGTTAGTATAGGTGGAACAGTATAATTGGTGGATGGTAGTTACATGATATGAACATGTTCTGAAATGGTACAAAATAAAGGGGTATAATAGACTGATGTGCTATTAGCAAAAAAATGTTTACCAATGCTTAGAGGGCAAATCAAGGTCGAATATGTTTGGCTATTTGAATTATTTAAAGGTTCCTTACTAGTAATTGCTGTATGGTTAACTCTATGGCTTAGATGGTGGAGCACTTACTCTCAGGTTCAATACCAAACTGAGAAAATAAAATCATTGGGTTACCACATATATTTGTACATAAAGAATAAATAACACCAATATCAACAAAAGGTTAAGCTGCTAGTTGGCCTTTTTTTAATAGTTGATTCAAGTGTGGTTAACGGTCCAATATATAGAAACCTTAATATTGTTTTATTGCATCTTTATAGTCGATTTTGTAGACCTTGGACTGTAGTTGTGCACAGAGGGAGAACATTATGCCAGTGAAAAAAAATATATTTTAAAATAAACACTTCTACTCTGTTATCGAATAAATACTAAGCAGAAGTTATTTTTTACAACTTTATAATGTCTCATTAGGTTAACCCAACTTCATCAATTGTATACAATTTATGATATTTTATATATAGTATCTAAACTTGATGATGCCAGTTAGGCTAACCTAATAAAACATTGTGAGTTATAAAATTTACTTTATTGAGAGATATACAGAACAAAGTAAATTTTATAAAGTTTGATGCAGTTTCAGTGTTCTTTAAAGATAAAGATAGTCCTGATGGCTAGAATCATATAGGTATCATAGTAGGTTTCTGTTTAGTGCAAAATAAAGAAGATTGGAAAGTTACTTGAAATAAGTTCAACAGCATTCATCAAGTAATCCGTATATATATATAGATGGTTTTAGCCAACACATGTAATTAGGAAATTGTGACTAAAAGTGTTTTAAAACTATTGTAAAGGTTTCACAACTTTCAGTAAATTTATATATCTTATTTTTAAAATATGTCTAGATCTACAAACAGAATAAAGGTATTCATTAGAGTTTGCTACAAAATATATGTCAGTATAAAGAGAATAATATTTTTAGGTTTATTTGGGGATTGAAGTATTTCTCTATTCATTCTCATAAAGTTTTAATGAGCTAGGTCAATGGCTGTTATATAACATATCATGACAACAAAGGATCTGTTGTTTCATCTAGGCTGTCCTATCCATTCATTTAAACTTAAAAATAAAACACTTTAAGCCAGCCTTTAACATTCCAATATATATCAAATATTAATCTCCCTTGAATTTACTGCACCATCTACATATGTTTGTCAAAAGATTTATCGACTGTTAGATACTAAGAAAACTATATAAAAAGAGATTGGTTAAAATATATTCAAACTGTTATGCATTTATAAACTACTGCCACTACTACTGAACGTAATAACCAGAAATGTATAATATGCAGAATGTATTTAATATACAGATGATAGTGTAGTAATTTAAAATTTTTAATCCCTTGAAGGTGAAATTGGACTTCGTGGACCTCCTGGAATCCCTGGTGGTGTTGGGTTACCTGGAACTCCGGGAAGAGAGGGTTTACCAGGTGCCAAGGGTGAAAAAGGAGAGCCTGGACTCGATGGCCTTGCTGGACTTGAAGGTTCATCAGGGATACCTGGACCACCAGGAGCAAAAGGAGAACCAGGACCAAGAGGAATCCCAGGGTTATCAATTCCAGGACCAAAAGGTTTGGATGGAACTCCAGGACAATCTGGGTTCCCTGGACAGAAAGGAGAAAGGGGGGATAGAGGAGAAAGAGGTATGATTACAAATTCATCTAGAACTGGAGGGTAATATCAAACATGTTTCTCAGGTAGAAGTACTGATAGATAAAGGTAATGCCATATAGTGAAAGTTATCTTAATTTTTATTGATAGGTAAATTTAGATTCTATTCTTTTCTGATGTCCATATATTTGTCTAGTACACAACAAAGCACCAGAGTTACTTCTATTACACTATAAGCTTGAAACCTAGACAAATGTTTGCATAACCCAGTTAGTTCTCCTGGTAATTCATGTTTTTTAGAATAACTGCTACAGTGAAAACCCGATTTTACGTGCCCCAATTTAACGCTATTTCGGATATAAAGTGATGGGTCATTAACTCTTTCGACATGGGCTTAGTACCTGGGACCGACCTCTTAACCATAACCTCGTTATAGTTTACATACTAATAATTTTTAATATTTTAAGTGTATCTT